GGGGGGAGGGGGGAGGGAGGGAGAGCGAGAGAAAGCGAGAGCCGTGGAGAGTGGGGGAGAAAAGCTTTGTGGGTTGCTTTGAGTTTGCCTTTGATGAATATAGCGGAATAAACGTGAACGCTGGAAGGACAGTCGGACAGAGACAGACGATCTCCAGCTAGCGCAAGAGATGGCGACTGGAGGAATGGGAGCCACTGGCGCTGTTGTCCTTGACCTCTATTGCTTTACCTATGTTAAGGAAACGTACATGTGTGTGTATACATGTGTGTGTGTGTATACGTGTGTGTGTGTGTGTGTGTGTGTGCGTGTGTGCGCGCCTACTTGAGAGCGGGAAAGAGACCCGACCTTTTCTTCGTGGGGGCTGGCCGTGCCCGTGCCCTTCCTCCCCTTACAAAACCGAACGAAGCCACCACACACGAAAAAACCCTCGCCTGGTTGGAGTGGCTTGCTGGAGGGGCGCTCCCCGCTTGCCCCCCCCGCCCGGCCTGCCCGTCCCTCGTCCTTCCTCCTCTTCTCCCCCTCGCCCCTCAGCCGCCTCCTGAGCCGGGGGAGGGCCCTGCCGGGTGTCCCCGATCCTCTCCTCCTCCTCCTCCTCCTCCTGCGCCTCCTCCTCCTCAGGTAGCCGGCCGAGGCTCCTATTGTCCGTCTCTTCCTTCCCCCACCTCACAGGTCACAGCGGCGTGAACCAGCTCGGCGGCGTCTTTGTCAACGGGCGGCCGCTGCCAGATTCAACCCGGCAGAAAATCGTGGAACTCGCCCACAGCGGGGCTCGGCCGTGTGACATCTCCCGAATCCTGCAGGTGAAAATGCCGGTCACCTCCCCAGTGTCCGCCCTCCTGCGCTTACCTTGCTTGAAAACCAAGCACACACACGGACACGCACACAGGCACGCACACACCACCCCAGCCTGTGAACTGGGAGAAGGGCTTTTCCCGTGACTCTCGCCTTTCCCGTCCAGCCTCTATGGGGGCTAAAATGCTGATTAACTTCATCCTCAGTCAATCTGTTTTGCTAAACCGTGGGGATACAATATTGATGCCTTGTCTTGCTTGTTCAATGAACGGATGCTTGACCATCTTCCTTCCATGAATGCAGTAACTTTGTTTTAAATTAGTTGGCTGGAATGAAATGACAGCGACGTAGTAGGCCCAACCTAGACACACTTCCCTGGAAATAAGTCCCACGGATGGCTTATTATCCAAGCAAGTGTGTATAGGTCAGGAATGTTAAAAGTGTCTTCTCCACAGTGTAGAATGTCTGGTTTTTGCATGCAAATAAGTTAAGCAATATTATGAAACGCTACGTTGTAAGAATCGATAGATTTCCTTTGGAATAGTTACTTGGTCTTGATTATCTTAGAGAAAACGATTTGGCCAGGGATTTGGCGTAGGGCTACAATACAGTTCCTCACATCTTTCCAACCTCCCCCTCCAATAACCCCAGCAATGTAAACATTTTGAAAACCGGTCCGATGATGTCTCTAATAAAACCCCACCAACATCTGACCTTTTTCTCCAGTTTTTCTCCCCTCCTCCCCGTTTTGTGGTTTCTTTTTTTTTTAATTTAAAACAGATCTCACCTGTGTAGCATGTAGGGCCACAAATGTAATATTTTTTTAGGGAAAAAGAAAAGAAAAAAAAACCTCTCTTAAGTAAGTTCTCATACCATTTAAGGTATATTTTTGTGTTATAGACCCATGCAGATGCAAAAGTCCAAGTGCTGGACAATCAAAACGTAAGCTTGTCATTGTTTAATGCATACTTAAACAATTTTATTTTTGTCTTGAAATTATTAATAATGTGATTTTCTGTCCGCTTCCCTGATGCAGGTATCGAATGGCTGTGTGAGTAAAATTCTGGGCAGGTATTACGAAACTGGCTCCATCCGACCGCGGGCAATCGGAGGTAGCAAACCGAGAGTAGCGACTCCAGAAGTTGTAAGCAAAATAGCACAGTATAAACGGGAGTGCCCCTCCATCTTTGCTTGGGAGATCCGAGACAGATTACTATCGGAGGGGGTCTGTACCAACGATAATATACCCAGCGTAAGTTCCTCCAGAAACCCTTTTCTACCTGATCTAGAACGATACCCGGGAAGTTGTTCCTAACCCCTCTTCTTTTGTTCTTCTAGCCCACTCCAGGGCTAAGAATTCCCCCCCCCCTCCCAGCGCGGGCTTTCTCTATTTGTCCTTTACTGGGGAAGAATTTTGTCATGAAGCACTTTTGGGAACCCTCCTGCCCCCCAAATCTCCTCCTTCCTTTTCTTTTCTTTTCTTTCCTTTCCTTTTCTTTTATTTTTAAATTATTCGGGATTCAAGACTTGGTTATTGAATTGCTAGGGATCCGAAAATTAAAACTACTTGCTCTGGGCAGGTAAAAGCCAAGGAACAGCCCGCATCAAATACAGAGGTCGAAGGGGAGATATCTGCGGGGTGCCGACTGGAAGGGCATCTCAAGGCAGAGCAGTCCAGAGTGGCTTGGTCTACTGTGTCCATCTAGTGTTCTAAGTGGTGCCCAGGCTGAAGAAGACATAGGGGATCTAATAAAACCCCACCAACATCTGACCTTTTTCTCCAGTTTTTCTCCCCTCCTCCCCGTTTTGTGGTTTCTTTTTTTTTTAATTTAAAACAGATCTCACCTGTGTAGCATGTAGGGCCACAAATGTAATATTTTTTTAGGGAAAAAGAAAAGAAAAAAAAAACCTCTCTTAAGTAAGTTCTCATACCATTTAAGGTATATTTTTGTGTTATAGACCCATGCAGATGCAAAAGTCCAAGTGCTGGACAATCAAAACGTAAGCTTGTCATTGTTTAATGCATACTTAAACAATTTTATTTTTGTCTTGAAATTATTAATAATGTGATTTTCTGTCCGCTTCCCTGATGCAGGTATCGAATGGCTGTGTGAGTAAAATTCTGGGCAGGTATTACGAAACTGGCTCCATCCGACCGCGGGCAATCGGAGGTAGCAAACCGAGAGTAGCGACTCCAGAAGTTGTAAGCAAAATAGCACAGTATAAACGGGAGTGCCCCTCCATCTTTGCTTGGGAGATCCGAGACAGATTACTATCGGAGGGGGTCTGTACCAACGATAATATACCCAGCGTAAGTTCCTCCAGAAACCCTTTTCTACCTGATCTAGAACGATACCCGGGAAGTTGTTCCTAACCCCTCTTCTTTTGTTCTTCTAGCCCACTCCAGGGCTAAGAATTCCCCCCCCCCTCCCAGCGCGGGCTTTCTCTATTTGTCCTTTACTGGGGAAGAATTTTGTCCTGAAGCACTTTTGGGAACCCTCCTGCCCCCCAAATCTCCTCCTTCCTTTTCTTTTCTTTCCTTTCCTTTTCTTTTATTTTTAAATTATTCGGGATTCAAGACTTGGTTATTGAATTGCTAGGGATCCGAAAATTAAAACTACTTGCTCTGGGCAGGTAAAAGCCAAGGAACAGCCCGCATCAAATACAGAGGTCGAAGGGGAGATATCTGCGGGGTGCCGACTGGAAGGGCATCTCAAGGCAGAGCAGTCCAGAGTGGCTTGGTCTACTGTGTCCATCTAGTGTTCTAAGTGGTGCCCAGGCTGAAGAAGACATAGGGGATTTCTGGCTCCC